TACCTGTATTCACACCTATGCTATAACTGTACCTGTGGTCATCTGTGTGCACAGGTGGATGACCGCACAGCCGCTGCTTCTATTACCTGTATTCACACCTATGCTATAACTGTACCTGTGGTCATCTGTGTGCACAGGTGGATGACTATACCACTGCTGTTCTTAGGTGAATTCACTCAGTGCATAACGTGCTCTTTGTGGGGTATGAAATATCACATGAAAGTCAAACATGACTGGTGATAAAATGTTCAGTCCAGTTTGAGGCCATAATAAAATAGAATAAATTCGTTGCTTAGGCTCATCTCCAGAGAATAACTGCCATTTCCTGTGCTATGTCATCACTGGCTAATCTGTAACCGAGGGGGAAGGGACCTGGCTGCCTATTCTCCAGCACCCACTGACAACTGCTGACTGCTCATGCTCCCTGCGCTCTGGTTCCTCTCCTCTGAATACTATCTGTTGTTGCAGCAGAAGTCACAGCCCTGGGACCAGCAGTTAGCATAATGGCTATGTCAATGGACTCCCACGTAGTCGACCACGGTTCAAGTCCTGGACCCGGTGGCTTCAAGTCACGCCGGGCGCGTGTGCATGTGTGCCCAAGATCCTGAGGAGAATGGAGGAGAAGGGATTGCGGTGTGGCCATCCCCCCCCTGGGGTGATTTCTTGCTTTTTGTTTCTTTGTGTCTCTCTGTCTTTCTGGGGAGCACACGCCCTGCAGCAAAAACCTCTCCCCATCCCCACCTCCAAGAAAAAAAGGAAGTCACAGCCGTACCAGGATGGTTGCTACTCCTGTGGTCCCAGCTACTCTGGAGACTGCTTCAGGAGACTGAAAGTTCGAGGCTGGCATGGAAACATGTAGGTACCAAGTCTGGAAATGACAAAAAAAGGAAAGGAAGAAGAAAAGTCAAAGGACAGGAGACACGGCTCTCTGCTTAAAGTGTACGTCCACAGCTGAAGGGCGTGGGGGCAGCAATGTCACCCTTGCTCCCAAACACTCTGTGCTGTACTCCTCGAGGGAGCCTGTCAGGGCAGAGTTCTCTCCTAGCCAGTCGGGTTCTGCAAGCACGCCGAGGCAGCCTGGCCAGGAAGCCTGGGCGTTTCGTGGGGCGCTAGCGCCCTCTAGCCCTGGCTGCGGCTCAGAGCAGGGTCGCCATGGAGCGCCAAGGGCTGGCTAGGTTCCCTTCTTCAGGGAGGAGAAATCTTGGGACAGATAGGAACTTCTGCTCTTCCAGGGGGAGCACAGCGTGAACTCGGGCCAACGCCAGCATGGGTCAGGGGCGCGGGCCCAGCCCTGTGGAACGGACACACGCGCTCACATTAGACAAGTGCTTACAAAGCGTTTTCCAGACTGCAAGGTCTTCACAGACGGAACAAGGCTGCCCGGCTGCTGTTCTCCTGTTCGTCTCCAGGCTGTTTTAAACGGTAGCAAGCCCTTCCCAGACGCGGCCCAGCTGAGTCTCCCGTGCCTCTCACATCGCAAACCCTGCGGGTCCTTGGGGTGTGACTCTGGTAGATTTCTGTTCCATAATGGTTTGCTAACATGTTTGCAGATGAGCAAAGTATGAAAGCACGCCAGGACATCCCACACACCTCCATCTTGCCTTTAAAGTTTATGTCCTGCAGATCACTGAGAGGACTTCCTGTACAGAGCGGTTTTATGACACACATTTGAAAATTGGCTTTAAAACACCATAAAAGAGGAACATTAGCAGCAGGATGTTAGGGAAAGCCGCAGCTCAGGAGTGTCTAAAGCTGACCAAGGTGTTCTGCCGCGGTTTATGAGTCGCCCGGAGGAGCCTCCCCGGCTGGCTAAGAGATGCGGCAGAGACACCTGCTTCAGGCCTGTGAGGTTCTGGCCACACCCGCAGACTCCTTCTCCCAGGGCCTCAGTCTACATCAGGGAATTGGGCATGCGTAGGCAACACGGCTGCACGGCAGCAGGGTGGTGGGGAGGACAAGAGAGGGCAGACCCCAGTTCCTAGAGAAGCCCCGAACACGTGCGCTCAGTGTGCTGGTTGTGCACCTGAGCCAGGAGCTGCTGAAAAGATGCCAGTTCCCTTAAGCCAAGTTATCCCTAGTTCTGGAGGGGGAACTCCAGTGCTGTAAGAATGTCTGTTCCCCCCAGCTCTGGCCCAAACAAACGCTGAGGGGCTTTGGATGTAGAGAGAGTAAGATGATGACAACTATATCAAATTTTATCTGGAAAAAAAACACTTGGGGCTAACCCTGAGCCTGAGGCAGTGAGGACTCTGACCCCACTCACCCCAGTGCAGCCAGCTGCTCCTGCCACCTGTCGGGATCTCTCAGGGCTGTTCTCAGGCCTGGAACCCTGGTGGGTGAGCCCAGCACCGTCCTGGGCTTCCAGGGTTAGATGGCAGTGCTTCCCACAGGCTGCTCCTGGCTGTCCCCGCCAGAATGGCTAACCCTCTCCCCAGGCAGAGGCTGCCCCGACTCATCCCAAGTGCTCCATGCCTCCAAGACTTGGAAGATGCTCAGAGAGACCTGCAAAGGCACGTGTCCCAGCGTGTGAACACAGATACGAAGCCGAGCACAACCGGGCAGCGGCGTGTCCACTCACAGACGGGCTGGGCACATGCCACAGTGGTGTCCACGGGCCGCGAAGAGAGCGCTCGGAGCACGGGCGGCACCTGTGCACACTGACGTGGGAGACAGACAAGCCCTTTGTTTTACTTCGTAGATAAATAAATAAACCTGACTTTTAAGCTTTTATTTATTCTCCTCTGCTTCATCCTTCTCCCCAGAGAATGTGGCGTCCCCACCAGGCTCCTCACAGCACAGGCTGTTGTGTCGGCCAGCCAGGTCCCGGGCTCGGGTGTGAGCCTGGGACCTCCCCAGTGGGCTCGGCATCGCACGGCAGGGTGCTCGGTGCCCTGGCTGGGTCGAGACACACATCAAGCACAAAACACCAAGTGGCAAGCCGGATCTTAACTGTGTAATTAAAAAATGCTTATAGGAGGGGTATGGCTACGTCACTGGACGCACATGTCGTCCACCGGTTTTGAGTCCCGGACCCGGCGGCTTAAAACTGCACCAGGTGTGTGTGCTTGTGCGTGCATAACCAAATCCCCAGAAGAGAACGGAGAAGGGACTGCGGCATGGCCATAGCCCTGCGGGGTGACTTCCCGCTTGCTATCTCTCTCTCTCCAGCAAGTGCACACACCCTAGAGCAAAAATCTCTCTCTCTAAAAAAAGAGCTTATTTGTGTGTAGAAAATTCTGGAAGAATGGCTACAAACACTTCCCCTGCATCTAGAGAATGAGTCTGAGAGTGAGGAGAGACTTCTTAAATGTGCTTTCCCGACAAAGTACAACCGAAAGACTAGCGCAGAAAGCCCACGTTTGGCACCCTCTGAAAGCACTTCGGGCCCTTCCCTAGGGCAGCCGAGAGTCGCCTGTCCAGTTGGAACTGATGCTAAGTCAGAGAGTTCCTGAACTTTGGCTCCAACCTCTTCCTACGTCTAAGATCTCTGTAGACAGCCACGGGAGGGCCTGCCCCGCCTCCTGGTATTTTCCCATCCAGTGCCAACCAAACCCGCGTGTGCAGGCGCACAGGAAAGCCCCGCCTCGCTCTGCCGCACCGCCCAGCCAGTGCATCCTGTCTCCTCGTCGGTGCCAGGTCGGCCCAGGCTGCTCCCGCGTGGCCTGGTTCCTGTCATTGTGTGTGGTTCCGAAGTGAGCCTCCCCAGAGGCGCGTCTGAAACACTCTCCATGGTGCCTGCGTCTACACTCCGGGCTGGGGCATGGCGTCCGAACTCGTAGCTTACCTTGGGGCTCCGTGGGCTCTGGCTCTCCCGGGCGGCAGCACACATGACCGTCACCTGGGTGCCGCAGGGGACCTGTGACTGAGCGTTTCTTTATACTCGCATAGGCCTTAGTCAGGGGCAGGGAATCCGTACGCAGCCCCAAGAGGAAGCCTCGTGAACATCCAGAACTGACCCACAGTGGAAAGGGCCTCTCTTCCACCTCTTAGCATACACTCACGGCAGAAAGAACTCGCCCAAGATCCAAGAAGCAGTGGGACGTCACTCGATCTGTGCTGTGCTCTGGTTTCTGAGCCAGGTAGTTATCTTCGTACGGAGAAATCCCTGTGATTCTGTCGAATTTCCTCTGAGCTAATCCCAACCCCAAGTCCTCTTGTTTCCTCTGGTAAATTCATGTAGATCTCAACTCTTACAGCCACTGCAGCCGCATGCTCTCTCAGAGGAAAGGGCCTCTCTTCCACCTCTTAGCATACACTCACGGCAGAAAGAACTCGCCCAAGATCCAAGAAGCAGTGGGACGTCACTCGATCTGTGCTGTGCTCTGGTTTCTGAGCCAGGTAGTTATCAAAGCATCAGTCTTTCCAGAAGCCTAACAAAGTGCCGGCCAAGCGTCCACCAACTGCTGTGATCCTGAGCTTGGCTCAGGACTGGCTAGACACCAGCGCCCAGCACCGCAGCAGGTCCTGTGCTATGGCCGAGCCGATCAGTCGCTGACCTCAGCCCTGGCTAGAATCTTGGGGCACTGGGCAGTGTGTCCTGTCCCACTGCCCCCTGGGGTCGCGTCTCACCTTGCCATTCTTGGAACTAGGTCCACTGCAGCTCCCCTCTGGTGGCTGGCCATGCTACTCTGTCCCCGAGAAAACAGAGGCGACTAGGAGGGAAGTCTGTACAATGCCCCCTGTCCTTGCCGAACTGCGTCCCCCAGGTCTTCAGCCCCTCTGGTGGCGTCTCATTCGGAGACAGGGTCTTCACAGAGGTCATCAAGTTAAAGCAAGGTCACTAGGGTGGGCCCTGATCGTTACGACAAGGCCAGGGCACACACAGAGGGGCCACCATGTGAGGACACAGGGAGAGATGGTGTCTGCAAGCCAATGGGGGTGGCCTCAGGAGGACCCTGCTGACACTGGATCTCAGTCTCTGGTCCTGAGTGGTGAGAAACTTTGCTGGGTAGGCCGCGGCCTGGGCTGCCTGAGCCCATGCACACTCCCAGCGCCACGCCCACCTCCCTCCACTGAGCTCGCAGGTGCCACCTTCTCTGTGACGGGAAAAACAAACTTGTCACCCCTTTAAAAGCCAACAGATGTCACAAGGCTCGAGAGTGTCCTGCTGTGTGGAGTGCTGGGTTTAGGAGCCTTACCGAGCACCTCTGCAGTCCACCTCTGCAGACGCCTGGCCGTCCGGCTGTCCAGCCACCACGTGGGGGGTCTCGACCACTGAAATGGAAGGGAAGGCCCTCCCCCCCACTCGCTGACTTCAGCCCTCGGCGTGGAAACTCTCACTCGGCTCTCCGGGTGGTGGTGGCTGCCGCAGGGTGCCGCGTCTGTCTGTCCAGGTGTGCATTCTGCACCAGGGACTGGCCTTGGCTGCCCTAGCTGGCCTCTGACCTGCGTCGCCCAGTGGGCGGTGCCGTCCAGGGTCCCGCATCAGCGTCCTCAGGAGCACAGCAGAGTAAAGTGTGAGAAGGTCATCAGGAGGAGGTTTGGGTCCAGTACCTTTCATAATTAGATCGAACTGTCAGTTTATGGCATTGGTTTATTTCTTAGAGATTTTTGCATATGCTCTCCAGAGACAGACAGAGAGAGAAAGAGATAGGAAGCGAGAAATCACCCCTTGGGGGGATGGCCACACCGCAATCCCTTCTCCTCCTTTCTCCTCTGGGGATTTTGAGCATGCATGCACACGTGACCGGTGTGAATTTTAAGCTGCTGGGTCTGAGACTCAAACTGCAGTTGACTACATGGGAGTCCAGTGACGTAACCGTTATGCCATCTGCTGGTTCCTGTGTCACTAACTTTTGAATAATGGTCGTGTTTAATGACTGGCTTGCACAATTTCTTTCTTTTTTTTTTTTGGAGAAGTTTTTGCTTATAAGGCGCATGCACTCGCCAGACAGACAGAGAGAGACAGAGAGACAGAAAGCGAGAAATCACCCCCCAGGGGGGATGGCCATGCTGTAATCCCTCTTCCTCCATTCTCCTCTTGGGATCTTGGGCACGCATGCACACGCGCCCGGCGTGAGTTTAAGCCACCGGGTCCGGGACTCCAACTGGGGTCGACTACATGGGAGTCCAGCAACATAGCCATTACGCTAACTGCTGGTCCCGGCTTGCACAATTCCTAATGGCCCACGAGGAGCTCTCCCCAGCCAGGGCCAACAGTCCGCCGCGTGCCGCTGGCTGGCTGCCACTTACCGCAATTCTAGCGCCTATCACTTCTCCGGCATGTGGATTCCATAGTTCACTCATGCTGGATCATAGAGAACTTCGTCTCCAAACGGCATGACTGCTTTCGGCTGAGCAGCATCTGGAACCTCTTCCTGGCTGAGGAGGACTCGTTCTTATAAAGCAAGAGGTCATCTCATGGCTGAAGCTGAACATACCGGACAAGCATGCTTTCGCAGGTTGCCTGTGTCCATGCCACCGACACACCTGCTCCAGCGAGGAGAGGCCAGAGAGACCACGGGGTCTGTTACGGTGAGCAGTGGCCACATTCAGGACCTAGGTGTGAGCGGTCGTGGGAGTGACGGTGGAGCTGCGTGTTGCTGGCATGCTGGCGTCTTCCTGAGCCTGCTCGGGTGAGGGGCACCGGCCCTTCCGGTCTACTTATCTGATCCTGTTGGAGACTGCCCGTTCTCTGGTATTCATTTTTAAATCAAACCTTTTAATTTTAGAATTATTTTAGATATATAGAGAAGTTGTAACGATAGTACAGAAAGTTTTGGACTCCCCATGTTCAGCTTCCTGCATTGCTGACATCTTTAGCCCTCGTACGGCGCTGCCCTTGGCCTCCTCTGGGCTGCGAGGCCGTTTCTGGGCCTCCTCCTGATTTAGGTGACCTTGGCTGGGCTGGCGGTTTGTAAGGTGTTCTCTAACTCGGGCTTGTCTGGCATTTTCCTCGCGGCTTACCCTGAGAGTGTGGTGGGGTGGGAGACCACACAGAGAAGGCCTGTCCCCGTCATCTCACATCAGGGTGTGGCTCCCCCCGGCGGGCGGCGGGGGGGGGTCGCACCTCCTCAGCCCTGCCTGCTGGAAGCAGTCACTAGTCAGGGTCCCAGCTGGGTGGGATAAGCCCGCTTGCTTGCAGGCAGGTGCTTCATCTAGATTAATATTCGTTTATTTATTCGCTCACTTATCTCTCTACCGGTAGATAATAAGTAGATAGATAATGATAATTATAAATAATTCATTATTTATAATCGGCATTGACTCGAGGATATTTATTTTATACTTTGGATTCTGATCCAATATTTTGTGAGAAAAAAGCAACTTAGGCCAGTCATGTCTGTTTAAAAGTGTCATTTGTTAAACTAGTCTGCAGAGTTGCCTGAGTGCTTTATCAAATTGTGAAAGTTCAAGTGCAAATAATTTCTGAAGACTA